TCAATCACGATAAATCAAACACACAATCATGCACATTAACTTGATTACTTCTTTTGCGAACAATATGAAAACAATGGTGTTTACGTAGTCATGGAAAATTAAGGACATTCAATAATGTCTTCACATCTAATTCTATGCTCATGAAGTCCCATAAGCCTACAATCATATTCAATAGCCTCTTCAATAGTGAATTGTAAATGCATGCAATGAAATCACAATATAAACAGTTTATACTGTTCTCCTGGGTTAATAGAAATGTGTGTGTCAGTGTAAATAGTGGATACATTTAGCATAAGTTGTAAAGGCTGTATTGAAACTCAAATGTTGCCTGTGGCTCCAGATTTATGGGACAAACTATACGGTTTCCCATGCCTATTGAGTTCATCTCAACATGCACCCACATATACATATGCATGTACGTAAATATTGAGACTTGGGATGGTGATTTCATGTGGGGCACAACAAAACAGATGAGAAATAAAGAATCAATTTTATCCTAGAATGTATCAAAGTGACATGTTCATAAAAGACAGGAAGTACAAAGTATGAGTGTAAACAAATGGTTCCATCAGTTTCTTCTTTCAACAGGAGACATTCAGTGAGAAAGAATGTGTTTCACATGTTAGTGTCTACTACAAGAATGTCATGTCATGACATTATTAAACTTACCTTTTGTTGAATGCCTCCTGGTGAGCATAATACTGGAGGCTTTCTTCCTCAATAAGGAAATTCATTCGCTCAAAGAAAGATGCTGTAATTGCAGGTGGCTGTTTCCTGAGCAGAATGTCAATAGGTTTGGGAGCTGATACACAGAGTTGACTACTGCGACACAGAAGATTGGAGCAACACTCAGGATCTTCACAGTCAGTTAGACCATCTGGAATATTAATATTGAGAATTTTAAGTAACGAGAAATTGAACTATATGAAGCAGTTATTTTGTACTTTAACAAACTCCTCATCCTTTCATATACAGAGCGACCCTGCATCATACACAACTGAATTACAAATTTTCACCCTTATAGGAAATATTCTGATTGGAAAGTAGTTGGATAGATGACCACTTTTGAACACAAATTATCAACACTTTCTTGTTGCAGTCAGTGGCCTTAAAACTAGCCATCTGATAATATTTCTCTGCTCACTCTCCCTACTAGCCCGGACCAGGTGCCAGCGCCCACAATTCCTCCAATGGAGGAACCAAAATCTGTGTGTACATGAATGCTCAGTCACTGTATTCATTTTGACCCTGACTATGGAGGCAATATATACTTCTGAAATGTCAGCAACACTGCACACATCCTCGCAGTGTGAAGACCCAAGAAGATAACCATCATGACAATAAATTTCAAACATAAAAATGCTATTGCAGAAATTATGGATAAATAATATATTTTTTTTTAAATATAAAATATGAAACAACAAAGAAATTCAGCCAAAGTTACTCTTCTAAGAAATGATTATTTTTGTTTATAAATTCAGATTACACAACTGTACCAATTTATGCACTCCTTCCACACACCCTTGCTGGATTCATACAGGTCTATCATTGAATTACTACTAAGTTTAAACAAGACTGCCAGTGTCAGAGTAGCGGGAGATATAAGTATAGATGACAAAGATTAAAGCAGTCAGTTAAGAAAGTGACATTAACTAAATTAAGCAAGAACTTACCATCATCATTGTCCCTTCCATCACTACAGCTCTGTTCCAGAGCAACACTACAGTCTTGTCCATCCCAACCTTCATAACAGTAACATTCCCATGCACCATCGCTGTTGACTCGACACTGACCATGTCTACTGCAGCTGTTTGGACAGCCTTCCATAGTACAATGACGTCCATTCCATCCCATCATGCACCAGCACGTGCCATTTTTACATTGTCCATGTTCATTACACCTGTAATTCCATGCAACTCTGTAAGATACTACAGTAAACTACTCAATATATACAATAATGTTCATTTATATGGTTTAATGAAGGCTTTACTTTTTGCATCCTGTTGTATTATGGAATCAAGGCATAAGGTGGCTATGTACACAACAATTTTTTAATAAACTTAATAAAATAAAATAAAAATAAATGGATGGTTAATATTCACCATGAAAAATGGATCCATTTTAATTTACAAATCAATGGTTATGTAATTTATTTATGAAACACCTGATGATGATCTGTATGACTGAAAAAATGTACTGGTAAAGATTAACAGCAATAAAGATTAATATTATCAGCCTTTTAACACTTTGCGGACCAGCATTTTTTAACCCACTACCCTAACTTGTGCACTGTTCATTTTAAAAATTAATATAAAATATCCTAATTAATTTTATGAACTAAAATTTTTGGAGAACACTTACCAATGCTTCTAGAAGTGCTTGAGAGTGTGATATTTCTGGAAACATTCCCCTTCTACCTGCACTTTCATCAGAGCTACTTTCATTTATACTGTCTATAGCCACAATTGTTTGTTGTCCTCTGCCACTGCCACTGCCACTGTCAAATCACTATCACTACATGTCTCAGAAGGAATGTCAAATAGCTCACGTCAGACAGCACATCGGAGAACAAGTCAGATCTTGCTTGGTTTTCAACCGCTTCTGTCCTTGACTCATTGCGCAACTAACTTCCTGCCTGGTACATAAGAGCTTGAAGGGTCACAGATAATTTTCCTTTGGAAGGGGTACCCAAACAGCGAGATCAAGTTACTGCCTACTAAACAAACATTCCAGAATAATATTACGCAGTAGTCATTTTATTTGGGTGGTGCCAGAGAAAGGTATAATGTGTTACAATCTAACGTGTCCTAAAGTCATAAAAATATGCCACCGGTCCACCACGTTTAAAAGCGCTGGGCATGAAAATATGCCACCAGTCCGCAAAGTGATAATTTTTATTTGATTTTATTAAGTTTATTAACAAATTGTTTTGTAGACACCCATGTTATACCATAACAAAGATCTCTTTGCACAAAGGCAACTGACCATAGTAGTCAAAATTCCATTGGCACTTTCTTGTTCTGAGGTTTTCAGAGATCACAAGGGCAGTGTGATGCAAGAACACAATGTGTCACCATCCAGTGGTTACAATTTCTGCTCTGATTATACAAGATTCCAGGTGCAAATCTCGGCCAAAGACTGGCTATATGTATTGAGTTTTCCTGTAATTTTCATTAGTCTCTCCAGCAAAATGCCAGTGCAATACCTCAAGTCAGGCTACAATCATTTCCATCCACATACTAATTCATTATTCACCAATCATCATGTTATATGAAACTATATAATCTGTGCAAGTGAAAGAATCATTAAATAAACCAAGAAAATGATGAATAAATATTTTTAGGTTATAGATTACATGAAAACTCATTATTTATATCACTGGCTGAACAAATCCCAGAAGTTATCTTCATTCCCTCCAGGAAAATGCTGGGATAGTACATAATTTATTCTGCAACTGGTACCTTCCAAACCATTCCAAATCATCAATCATCCTACCATTCAGCATTATATATAGTAAAACCTGCCTTAAAAGGACCCTTTATTGTTTATTGTTATTAAATAACTCCACAAATCCTGTACAGGGGCTTTAGCACCCATAGGATATAGAGCTAGTCAAACTTATACAATCTCATACAAAACATAGAAAGATACATGGTGTAACATTAAATCAAGCTATATCATAACAACACAGATTCATACACTGTTAGAAATACAACCTTTTACTTCTTACTATTCTTTATTAAATGGAAATCTGTCTTAAACAGAAATATTTTCAGGCCCCTTGATCTTGGGGCTGAAAAAGATGTTAAATAACCTGGATTAAATGGAAACTGTCTAACGTGGACAATGGAAATCAAAATAAGCCTTTATATACAGAAAATTTCCAGTCTTCTGGATTGCATCGTTTAGAATAATTTTAGGCATCCTATACATTCTACAGAATTTTGTTTTCCTTAACTCTTTAAAATAAGCTTCTAACGGTACTGCACTACCTGCACTGAGATTCAGCAGAATTGTTTTCCTCTTCTGGAAATTGTATTCAGTAAGGGCTCTAGGCCTACAGTTTTACTTTAGTCTAGCATTTGTCATCATGGCTACAAAGACAAGAGTTGTGCTTGATCTTAACACAAGATTAAAAGTGATTCATGTGAGTGAGTGAGATAAATTGTCTGTTAAGCAGATCATGAAGATGTTTAACGTGGTGGAACTCAAGTGTATGAGATTCTAAAGAAGAAAACGGAAATTTTGAAGTGGTGGGAAACTTGTGCTAATGGAAAAATAAAAAGAGAACTTAAGAAAACTGCAAACAAAGATGTTAATGAAATAGTGTGGGAGTGGTTTGTCAGTGTGAGGGCGAAAAATCACCGGTTGTCGGGTCCTATGGTACAGGAATATACTAAAAAAGTCACTGAAAATCTGGGGAAGACTAAATTCAAAGCATATAACGGATAGTTGGAGAGTTTTCGCAAAAGACATCGGATAGTTTTTAATGAACTTTGTGGTGAATCAAGTGATGTAAATAGTGAGATCATTGAGGAATGGGAAGCTAAATTGCCATCCATAATCGAGGGATATGAACCTGAAAACATAGCGAACAGTGATGAGACTGGACTGTTCTTCTGCGCGCTTCCGAATAAATCGTTATGTCTGAAAGGTGAAAAATGTTTGGGAGGAAAACTGCGCAAAGAAAGATTGACTGTTTTTTCTATGTGGTTTTATGTCAGGTGAAATGGAGAAAACCTTAGTGATTGGCAAGGCAGCAAAGCCACGATGCTTCCAAAACATGGACATACAGAAACTTCCCGTTGAGTGGAGATCGAACAAAAAGGCATGGATGATGTCACAGATCATGGAGGAATGGTTAATGGCCTTCAATGGTAGAATGAAAATGCAAAACTGGCATGTTTTGTTGTTCTTGGATAACACAACATGCCACCCCCATATCGAACTTTCCAACATGTGACATGCTTGGTTCCCTCCAAACACCACTAGTGTTTCTCAACCAATGGATCAGGGCATCATTCGGAATGTTAAGGTCCACTATCTTAAATTATTAATGCAATCTTTGCTCGTTAATATAGATTCTACATCATCCGCCTCTGAACTTGCAAGAACTGTCTCGGTTCTAGATGCAGTTATTTGGATATGTCAAGCAGTAAAGAAGTTGTTACCAGAAACTGTGACAAAGTGTTTCGAAAAAGCAGGATTTTCTATGGTAAAAGTTACTCCTAGTGTAGAAAATGAGAATGACCAGAAGGACTTACAACATTGCATGAATGAAGTTGCTTTCAGTAACTGCAATGCTGAGGACTACATCAACATAGACAAAGATGTGCAAACAGAACCAGGCAAAATGGATATCAATGTATTAGTTGAGAATTTTAGAGAAAATCGAAAAGGAAGAGAGGAGGAAGAAGAAGACGAAGAAGAGGAAAATGACATTGTGATAGAAGAAGAAAAGTGTAGAGTGAAGACTTATCATGATGCTGCCAACAGTTTAAAGGTACTGCAGGAGTTTGCTGTGCAACAGAATGATTCAGACATGCTTACTCTAATTTCTCAAGCTAAAGTGTTTGTGGAAAGTCAGGCAGCCAAGAGAGTAAACTGAGTGCAAAAAACTGTGCCAGAGTTCTGGTAAATTTATAAAAAGTGAGTACTGCAATTTTTTCCTGTTCAGTGTAATGTTTGCATGTGTTCAATGATTACAGTGTGAATAAATTAATGAGCATGTTGTCTCAGATACGTTTATGTCCTGGTTTAGTTATTATAGTATACCTTGATTAAACGGAAACCTGGCTTCAGTGGAAATTTTTTTTGGTCCCTTGAAATTCTGTTTAAGACAGGTTATACTGTAGTATAAAAACTGACATGACTGTAAAATAACTCCCAAAAAAATGATTGCCCAGAAGACTAAAATTTTGACTAAAATCCTTTTTGCTGAAGACAACTCTCAGTACCTTGGATCACACTGTTTCAGGGTGCAGTAATCTCCAGACCATCCAGAATTGCACATACATGAGTCACCAACACAGTGACCATGTGATCCACAGTCCAGGTCACAGAGCTCTGAAATTAAAATATTAGTGTTATCATGTGTCATGTGACCATGAAAAGGCCATGGGGACTAGACTGACTGCTCCCACTACAGTAATCATATGAGTTGTAACTACATTGGTTAGTTCCAAAAGAGAACGTGCCCCAATGGATGAGATGAGGGCATGTTCCTTTTCCAGCTACCAATTCAATAGAAGTGAGAGTTGGAGAAAAACAATGGAAAATTGAATGCAATTTTTTCAGATCTGAACTACTGTTTGAAATATGCAGTAGTATATAATTGGTTGACACCAGCTTTTTTTTTCTTTGTTATTGTTAGTGCGGTGAGACTAAGTCCCTTGTACTGTGGTCAATTCTGGCCTATTGTACCAGCCCCAGATGATGGGTGAGGGTGATTGTGGAGTAATTGGTGGAATGAAGATTGGCAGGGGAAACCGAAGAAATCAGAGAAAACCTGCCGCAGCGCCACTTTGTCCACAAGTCCCACGTGACCAGACCTGGGATCAAACCCAGGCCACCACGGTGGGAAGCCAGTGACTAACCACTTGAGCTATGGCGTGGCCCTGACACCAGGTTAGTCATATGACCAAAAGGTAAAGTTGTGCCCCTGATTAACTAATTAAGCTCTAGGCCATGAAGGCATATGGTGGAGTGGATGTATAGATCTACGTTTTCTTGACCTCGGCACTAGTTGGAAGTGAGTGGTGTGATGTTGGCTCATGTCCGTGGTCTGTGTGCGCACTTCTCCCCTCTACTGTCTCTACTGTCCCCCTCTCTCCTTCCCCTCCTGAGCCGGCTTAGTGGCCTAACGAGTGGAGCTAAGGGCTCTTGGCTTCCCAACCGTTGAAGGGGTAGGTTGTTCTCATTTCGGACCACCAGTCGAGGTCATCCTCGACCGTCCAAATTGATTTTTCTACGTGGTATTCAATCTTAGAACAGCGAACTCTGCAATCATTCTGATACAGGTATTTACATCATGTTTGTATTCTTTCTTTATTAATATATTATATTTATTCTTTGTTAATATTTGATTTGGTTATTTCTGTTTGGGTATTTCCACCTTGCTGATTTCTTTGTCCTCCCCTGCTCACCCTGTCCTGTCTCATGCGAACCTATACGGACTCCTCTGAAGGGTACCCCCACTTTAGTGGTCAGTTCCACACCCTGGCTGCTTTACCTCTAGAGAAAGAGCCCCCAATATCCATTATATAGCAGGTTGGGTGGACCCCAGAGCCCATCTAGATGACTTGGAGAAGAACAAATTCTTGACCCTACAGAGACTTGAACTGCTCGGTTGTCCAAACTTCGTTTGACAGCAACATCAGCAGTGCTGCCAGACTTACTGTCATGCACCAAACTCACAGAAGTTAAATTGCAAACATGCACAGCAACATCTATATCATCAACATCATGGAAAGCAACAGGAGTGTCACTGTTCATACCAACATTAGGAGAAGGTAAGGAATGCTGGTTAACTGATCTATGCCAACAGAAGTGCCACATTTATTGTGTGGTGGTGGTGGTGGTGGTGGAGGAGGAGGAGAAAAACTCGGATGTGAATATACAGCATTGCCACCAACATGTAGGTATTTACCTCCTGAAGAAGGTCGAGGACGACTGGACGAACTATTCGTTTCAGCAGATGTCACTGTGACAACTTCTGCGTTTTCTCCAACAAGAACTGTGCTAGATTTGGCGCTCTGATATGGCCTGTTTAATATGTTAACTGCTGGAAAAACATATGACAAATATATATATATATGTATACAGACAAATCCTGAACTCATGTTTTTATAGCTGAAATACATAAAAATTGAGAAAGAGAATTACAGTGCCTCAAAAGGCAGTGTTACCTTAGGCTGCTTTCCAAAAGAAGAAACAAACCTGAAGGACAAACTAAGCAAATTGATATAACTGTGTCCCTTTCCAACAAACAACCTTTGAATAAAACTCTGTGAAACCTCCATTTAACGTTTCTTTGGGTATCAGTGGAATTGAACATCAAACTGAGGAAGATCTTAAATGCATGTTATACAACACCAAAAGCAAAGACTTGGGATCAATGAAATTGAGTGTTGAAATTAAATGACTGATAACGCTAAATCAATAACATTAAATGGAGGTTCCACTGCGATTTTTACCAAACTCGGCATAAAGATCATGTTACCTAAGTCAGTCTCCTTTGTCAAACAGTTTTTAATTATTACTGTTATAGTGGGCTTGAGAAATTTCAGATTGGATGCAACAAGATGGTAATTTAAAGCAATTTTGCATGGTAACAGAATTTTAAAAAAGATGTAACTTATTTTATGTAGTTTGTGCACAAAACAGGAGGTAGTAATATGGACACAGTGCAGGATACATATTCATATAACAAAATTTGGAAAAGAGCAAATTCTTGACCTTAGAGAGACTTGAACTCCTCAGTTGCCCAAACTTTGTTTGTGACAGCAACATCAGCAGTGCTGCCAGACTTACTATCATGCACCAAACTCACAGAAGTTAAATTGCCAACATGCACAGCAACATCTACATCATAAACATCATGGGCAGCAACAGGAGTGTCACTGTTCATACCAACATTAGGAGAAGGTAAGGAAAGCTGGTTAACTGATCTATGCCAACAGAAGTGCCACATTTATTGTGTGGTGGTGGTGAAGAAGAAGAAGAAGAAGAAGAAGAAGGAGGAGGAGGAGGAGGAGGAGGAGAAGAAGAAGAATGTTAATACACAGTATTGCCAACAACATGTAGGTATTTACCTCCAGAAGAAGGTTGAGGTCGACTGGACAAATGATCCCTTACAGCAGAAATCTTGGGGGAAACTTCTGTTCTTTCTCCAACATGAACTGTGCTAGAGTTGGCACTCTGATATGGCCAGCTTAATAGGTTAACCACTGGAAAAAACATAAAACACACACACATATATATAGACAAACCTTGAACTCATGTTTTTATAGCTGAAATACATAAAAATTGAGAAAGAGAAGTACAGTGCCTCAAAAGCCAGTGATACCTTAGGCTGCTTTCCAAAAGAAGAAACAAACCTGAATGGCAAACTAAGCAAATTGATATAACTCTGTCCCTTTCCAACAAATAACTTTGAATAAAACTCCATGAAACGTTTCTTTGGGAATCAGTGAAATTGAACATTAAACTGAGGAAGATCTTAAATGCATGTTATACGATGGGGTACCCAAAAGAAACCGAACTAATTTTTTGGTGGGCAGAGCTTTTGTAGTACCATGTTTTGCCACTATGAGCGCATAGAGCTAACATTCCTGAGTCGATAAGCCGACTACCGTTGCTTCAGAAGGTAAGAACTAGTTTCGGCAGAGTTTATAGTGACAACTGTTTTGTGTGATCGTCGTTTTTGCAATGGCTGATTTTCATGAACAGTGTGCGGTGGTGATATTCTGCTTTTTGCTCAGGAAAAGTGGAACAGATATTCCTGAAATGTTAAAAACGGCATACAAGGACGATGCTGTGGGGAAAACTCATGTGTTTGAGTGGTTTTCCCGTTTCAAAAATGGTGAAATGTCAATCATAAACCTCGTTCTGGTCGTCCTTCCACGGCCCGAACACATGAAAATATTGCAAAAATTCGTGAAAACATCAAGGAAGATCGACAACGGACCATTGAAGAAATTGTGGAGCTGTCGGGAGTGACTTGGAGCTCAGCAGCCAGATTTGTGGCAGTCGGGTGACTGGTTTTTCCATCATGACAATGCCCCTGCTCACACAGCCCTGCCTGTATGACAATTCTTGACCAAAAATGGTATGACCCCTGTTCCTCACCCTCCATACTCACCCAACCTTGCCCCGTGCAACTTTTTTTTGTTTCCTCGAATGAAAAGAGACATGAAAGGAAAAAACGACGGAAGAGCTGTCAAGCATCTCAAAAGATGAATTTAGACAATGTTTTGAAAAATGGAACAAAAGACTAGACAAGTGTATTAGTGTAAGTGGAGAGTACTTTGAAGGGGATTGAAGGTTTGTGCTAAAAATTTGAATAAATAAGTTTAAAAAAAATAAGTTCGGTTTCTTTTGGGTACCCCCTCGTACAACACCAAAAGCAAAGACTTGGGATCAATGAAATTGAATGTTGAAATTAAATGACTGAAAATGCTAAATCAATAACATTAAATGGAGGTTCCACTGCGATTTTTACCAAACTCGGCATAAAGATCATGTTACCTAAGTCAGTCTCCCTTGTCAATCAATTTTTAATTATTACTGTTACAGTGGGCTTGAGAACTTTCAGATTGGATGCAACAAGATGGCAATTTAAAGCAATTTTGCATGGTAACGGAATTTTAAAAAATATGTAACTTATTTTATGTAGTTTGTGCACAAAACAGGAGGCAGTAATATGGACACAGTGCAGAATACATATTTGTATAACAAAATTAATGCTTATTGTAAAATAATAGGATTTCTAACAACCTTTGAGAGGAGTCATAGGCTAGCTCTGTGCTCAGAAAAGAAAGGATTATATATCAGCTCAAGTGGTCAGCACTTACCTGACACATATGTCAGCACTCCTGCAAGTACAACTGATAAAATAATGCATATAATTGCAGTACACTTCCAAGTACATTCTGAAGTGAGGCCTCTCCAAAACTGGAACCATGATTGTGGAAAATGGCTCGAGTTGGGGCGGCGCAAGTTATTATGGATAGGCAGGCCTGGAACAGGTGTCCCGAATGGCAAGGAACATCTGAAATTATAACATAGAAATAAGTGTCAATTTATCAAGCATCTATTACAAATAAGAATGCCAGAAATGCAGGATACTGATGTCACTGATTACAGTTAAAACCATAATTGCTAAAATTTAGTAGTGGTTATATTATAATTATAGAGTATCACAAATCTTCGCTCATTTTCAATAATATGTATGATATATGGCACTTCTGACTGACACACTGTTCACAAATGACAGTGAAATATTTTTAACACATGAATGTACATACTGCTTAATGTATTTACTTGTATCATTTACACCTCCTCAAAATCGACATACCTCTATTTGTAGATGTGAAATTTTTGGAAAGTAACTTTTGCCATTAATAAAACTTTGACCAACACACAAGTTTCACAAAATGAGATCAAAGGTAAACACATCATGGGAAAACAGTATGGGGAGCTTCGATTTGGTTTTCCACATAATTTGTTTGTTGCTCAAAATATAATCAGATGACATTCTTCTCTCAGTCTTAATCAGTGAACTCATGATGGAGTCCTTAAGCACCAGCAGCCAAACTATGCTGCCACATCGCTTTCACCATCAGTTGCATTTTATATGAATATTGCATGTTGGTGGAAGTTTTATCAAGGGCCATTTTCTTTTCAAAAGTCATTAAGAAACTCTGCAAAAAGAGTCCACTGTAGGTAATATCTATATGTGTTGCCACACCACATACACCTCGAATTGCCTCACTGCAATTTCTACATATGGTGGCTACAAATAGTAGTAATTTTTCCCAGGAGATGGATCCACCAATAAATTTCTCTATTATCATGTTCCATCATGTTTACAATATATGCTTATTGAGAGCTCTTCAATACCTGTATTTTGTATTATTTTAATACTAGATGTTAATAATTCAATTCAATTCTTTATTATTTATGTGCCAAGTCAACAGCCGCAAGGCCAATTACAGACTTAGCACAGTGTAGATGAAAGTAATTACATTATAGACAAACACATTATAAGTCAAAAACAAATTACAGGCAATTACTCGGTAAAACACAATAATGAAGAAAGTAAACAAACAAGCAAATAAATGATAATAATAATAATTTCATTATCATAAAACTAAGTGTTATTAAGAAGTGAAAAATGAAACATAAATATTTAATTAATTAATAATAATAATAACGAAATGAATAAAAATAATGATAATGAAAATAGTTTAATTAATTCAGCATAAAATATGTTTGAAAAACAGAATTTTTGGTCCAAAGATGCCAACATCCCTACAGACAACATTAGCAGGGATGTTGGCGTCTTTGGACCAAAAATTAAGGTAACATTGTTAAATACGATTGGGTTGAAAGTACAATGGGCCACTAGTTACAACTTCCTGTGTCATAAACGCAAGTATACTTGGTCCTCGACTTACGACCAGCCACACTTATGACCACAAATAAATGAAAAATAAAAGATGATTAAAATGTTAAAGTTTTTAAAAATAAATTACAAAGATGATAAAAAGATTATAAAGGTTAAAAAATACTGTTAATAAATATATGGCTGACATACGACCAAATCAACTTACGATCTGTCAGTCAGAACAGAAGTCAGTCGTATGTCGACGACCAAGTTTACAGGAGAATTACACAGCAATTTATTATCTATTAGTGTTGGTCCTAGGACAGAAACGAAAGTATTACGTTTCAGAGTTTTCCTGAATATCCCCTTTAGATGGACTGCTGCATGATGAATTGGACTTGTAGTCCAAAGGAGAATCCTTCGGTACATCTGAAAATAAAAAGATAAAAAATTTTGTATAAGAATTTAATTCCACAAAATATTCTAAGTAAGTAAAGGTATCCCTGTAACAGGCCGTGGAGGCTCATAGGGCTGTGAGATGTTGAGGTTCCAACATTTTCTAGACAATCGGCTTATAGATGGCGGCAAGGTTGTCAGCTGTACGTGCAGGCCACACTTTACCCCCAAGAATATTCCTGGTACTCATTTCTGTTAGAGGCTCAGTCAACCCCAAGGCCATAGTGCGGCTGGAGGATTAGGTCAATTGAAAAAAGAATCCAATGACCTCATCAGGACTTAAACCCGCCACCTTCTGGCTTGTAGCATAGTGTCTCAACCAACTATGCTCCCGTGTACATTTCCAAATAACTAGTTAGTTAGTTATTGGAGAGGGTGGGTTTCCCCATGCACTGAGACCTGTATTGGTCCATTGTGCTTCCCTCTATGATTTCTACCAGTCTCTATATCCTACCGGTACTGGTGCTTACCATCAGTCCTGCCCAGCCAGTGAGACTGGCTCTACTTAGCTGAGAGGTACCTATAATGCTTCCCCCATCTACCGGAGGTATTAGTGACTGCTGTTGGGCAGGAAATGTTCGTTAATTTGGCTCAGTGACCTCCTTTGGAGATATGAGGTTCTTTTACGTGCCGTAAAGCTACGACACGGGACCCACGGCTTAAAGTCCCTCCCGGATGACTTGTTCCCTGAATTTTTCCGCCCTTAAAAATTCGACGACCTCCACCGGGTATTTGAACCCGCGTACTACGAGTCATGAGGTGGGAACGTTACCTCTAGACTACGGAGGCCTCTTCCAAATAACTAAGTAACAATGACCCTGATATGTAGTAAGAATAAATGTAGCTTAATTTAATATATTTTTACATATGACGATGTTCACTAATGCTTGCTACTGATATTAGGTATAGCATTATGTCAAAAAGATAAAAATGTTCTAACATTCTGAAGGACCTACTGTACTATATTGCTTAGTTTTAGTCTAGAGGGGCAAAGGAAGAGCACAAGAACCTCTGTTGTTATAGCAGGCCTCAAGTCAGGAACTGATCTTGGCACCTGGCGTCATGTCCCGGGGGGGTTTTTAGGGAACATATGAGAGGCTTCCATGACTTGCTGAGACATCCATCCTCGCCACCAAGACCCAATATATGGATCGCATCATTAGGGAAGCCATAGAGGGGGGCGGGTTGTCTCAGCAAGTCATGGAAGCCTCTCATCTGTTCCCTAAAAAACCCTCCTGGACATGACACCAGATCCACAAGGCTATACAGGCCATGACCCACTAACATAGCAACGCCCCAGCTTAAGGGTTAGTGCCCTCCCTTTAACCTTGCCTTTCTCTCACCCGACACAATATCGTATACAAAACACTGCTTCTGTCCCATGCCCTTCCCCCCTCCCACCCCACTGATTTCCCATGTAGACTTGCCCTCCCTTTCCTTCACTGCTCTCACATAGCTGTGTTTATTTCCAACACCAGTCTGCTTTTACTGGTTCTTATGGTCTCTTCGCTTGTGGATTTCTTATTTTTCCTTCTACCCTGAAGATGGAGGCGATACGTTCCTCCGAAACGTCGGTTAACACCACATCTACACGGTGCCACATTCCAGAAGACTGCTTTCTTCAGCTTCAATATTATCCACTCATTTATATTTAGGTCTCCCTAGTGGTCTCTTTCCTTCAGGTTTTCATATCTGAACTTTGTACATATTTATCTTCTCTCCTCACCTATGCATGCTACATGCACTGTCGACATTTATCGTCTGTGGGATGTCGTTATATGAAGAGACAACCACTTGCTGAACTGTTCTGTAATATTTATTATAGTTGCACAGTTTACACAGATGAACTTGAGTTTGAAGAACTGAAGAATAAACGTAGAACCTAGAGTCGGACCTATAGAAAACATGTCACTGTCCGTATTGTTGTAGACCTTACATTGCAACGCCTGTTTACTCGCCGTTGCTAAGCAATGGTACCTGAGCTGTCACTGTTAATGTCTGCTTGCATGTGGGCAGTTCACACATCACCCCCACCCCCCTGGATGGTTGCTCACCTGTTGAAGCGAGCAGGTAAACGTACGAGGCGTCCGAAGCAGGTGGAGCAAATTGATGTGTAGCTGTAAACGCTCAATTTGTGGTTCTGTGTAGAGGTGCAGCATGTCCAGGTATGTGTTCATGTTGATCTTCTGCTCTTGGAAAAAAAAAAAAGGATCCAATAACCAGGTCATACATTACACCACACAAGTTCACTTTAGGACTATCGCGTATGTGCTCCCTAACAACATGTGGGTTTTCAACGTGTTCTTTCACGTGTTCTTGAATAGTTGCCATTTCACAAACAAATGACTGAGAAACGTAAATATGGCTGCTTATGCCATCTGTTGGCGGGAAAAGAAAACTTTCAGAGTTTCACTATGATCTGCCGCATGTGGCTAGCTCAATTTGTTTGCGCGCCACAATTTTCAAAACTCCGAAGCGACTTGGTATGTATAAACATCTTCGTGTTTATGTCATCACATAATGACGTAGATAGTCCCGTATTCAGCAGAACGTTACTAAATTATATTTTAAATATACAATGGGAACCAAAAATGTCACATTGTCCATTGATTTTCCATATATATCCCTACAAGTTAAAAAACCAGGATGTGGAAATTGTCCTTTGAATACAGATATCAATATTGCATATACAAGATCAAAATCATATACATCAATCAATAAACATAAATAATAATGTAAGGTAAAAGAATCTAATAAAAATAAACATACATTAAGAATAACTTACTCACGTTATTAATCCCACTTGGCTTTAACAAGCCAAGGGATAATAAAACAAGTCAAATACATTGGGGATCTCTTTAAACACAGAAAAATTCTCTTCCACTAGGCTGCATACTCTGGGTATATCGAACCCTGAAAGATATTTTGAACAGTCGTCACAAGAAACTGTGGGCTGTGAAGAACCGTAACAAAAAGCTGAGGATATCTTTACAGCAGCCGAAGGCTTGTTATCCATATGCTGGGGAATGTAATTTTTGGATAAGCAAGGTAGGACTTGTGCGCGTAGTATAAGAGTTCTGCCATATTCGTGACAAACAAACACTACAACCTGAAAATAAACTTACAATTGCACGTAAACAAAGACTACTACATTTTTTAGTAGCGTGATGTACCGTCCCACCAGCGTTCCTAGCTGCTGCATAGTACACCAATATGCCCAACTCTTGACTTTGTAAAGGAACGTCTAGAGTAGAGACAGTTTATTACTAATGATCTAAGTCAGGATCATCAGGATTGCTCAATCATGCAATGACTAGCTATGAGCTAGACGGCCAGGGAATCTAGTTCATATTCCCGGCATGAACAGTTATATCTGTCTTCACAGTGTACAGTCTGGTTCCCGGGGTCTCTTTCTCTCCGGAACCCAAGGTGTTATATCTCCATTCTCTCACACACAATCACGGCATGATGCTGAAATAAACACAAGGACAACTGTGGTATTTTACATTCACTGAAGTTATGTTCTACTGTTCCAAGTCACATTAACCAAATAATGTTTCCAGTTGAAGCACCATAATTTTGGGATGTGGGAAGTCTTAGTCGCTACAGCGATGGACTACGTAAAGAATGGTTGGGGTTCAACTCCTGGCAGGGATAAGAGTTTTCTCTTCTCCACAGCACCCACTAAGCCTCCAATTCAAGGGGCACTGGGGACTCTTTCCCTGGGGCTACAGTGGCCGAAACTTTATTCTGACCACTCAACTCCATTTAGTGCCAAGGTCAAGAATGATTCAGCTATACCTCCACTCTCCCATATGTCTTCATGGAATATTGCTTAGTTAATTAGGGGTAAACTTTACCTTTACACTGTAATTTATATTTTCTCATACACACTTCAGTATAGGCACTCTGCAGTTACAGATTTTTGTTTATTCAGCCATGCTGGATAAAGGTTGTACTATTATTCATTTACATTCTTAGCAGCATTCATATGTGGTTTCAGTCCTATGAATAGAGATGGGAAATATAAGAAGTTGTTACCTCATATTTCCTTCTCAGAGTTTCGCAAGATAAGTCACTTATTTCTGTTAGGTTTCTGTGTGCTGTAACTTCTTTGCCGTCCCCATCACTAACCCCTGGATAGAAATCCTTGAGAAACTAACAGCCACTCAACTACTCAAGAAAGTCAATGTCATTTTGGGACCTGGAGGTTTAAAACTGTATTCACAAGAGCATTCAAGGTCAGGACCTGAGATTTTACATATGGTGCGTTTGTTTTAATGGAGCAATTGTTAGCCCCCACCCAATCCTCAGGCTGGACAATGACATCATGTTGGAAATCTGCACCTACATAACAGATAAACTGCCTCTCCACTACAGACACAAAACAAGGCTGGCACAGCTGCAGAAATCTACTATTAAATACAATTGGTTGTGTGTCTTTCTTGATTGTGTTGCTTATGCAGTACTGTCACAATGTCTTGCCTTACTCTGATGCTACATTGGTTTACAATTTTCATTTCTTTCAAGTGGTTATAATGTGGAAAATAAATATGGATTCATCAACTTACAGAAAAATTTATACCATATATTTTGTTGCAATCCATCCTGCAATTTAAACATTTAAAAACTGGAGATATTATTATGCACTGGAACAAGCCAAATGGCTTAATCCATAAAGATGGAGAACAAGAAAATGCGAGACATTCTTCATTATGAAACAAGTATGTCGGATTAGAGATTTCCAGGTTATGAACCATGGATTACAAAACAGTTATGGATATTTAACACGTGGAAGGAATGTGGATTATAAATTCCCATGTCTCACCTTACATTTTGCTTGCTGTATGGAAACTTCATTTAAGATAGTAACATGGGAACTCAGACTGTGCCATGCCTTGTGTATCACATACTGAGCCTTCCTTTTTAGTGGTAAATAGTAGTATGCCATACTGGATCCCTGTTCCCAGAATATTAAATACATCTTGGTCAGTCCCTTAAGGCAAAGAAATATGTTGAGTGTGCTCAGAGAAAAGCAATGATGAGAATAGACTAGGCACAGTAATCAATCTTTGGATTCCATATGAATGTATGAATCTTTTGAAGAGCTAAGTGGCTATTAGCTTCTTAAATAGGACTTCACTCCAATTGTTTAGTTTCATAAAAAAGAATAGTTACCAAATGACAGAAGGCAAAATTACTTATTTTAAATTAAGTTATAAGTTTCATTAACTTGGGAGATACTGAGGATGATATTTGTTGAAAAAGTTATAAAGTGCACCCTTCCCCACCCCTTGCCATGTCAAATTCTGAGACCCCTCTCTTCCAAAGAAAGAAAAACAGTGCTTACATCTTTTCTGGGATATAACACTGTGACTCCAAAGATAGAGATGAAATCTTCCTTTGAAATATCAGTTAACATTACATACACTATACAGCATTGTATTCCAGAAGGTACAACATAATCACAGGTGTGAGAACCTCAGATCTGACTCCTTATATCTGTTCACTGTTTAGTGATTATGAAATACCAGGAAAAAATGGAACAGAATGGAAGAGTGTGATCAAAGCACAAGTGCTAGCTTCTAATTGTTTTTTGCTTGTCTCACTCTTTGACCCTGAAGATGGAGGTGGTGTATTCGTCCAAAACTCTGGGCTTTCTTTGAACTACATGGCATTACAAGCCAGAAGGCTTCTACAATTTTTAACCTTGGCACTGGATGGACTGCAATTCTTAAGACTTGGCACTGGGTGGAGGTGAATTGTCAGCTTCATTTTCCTGCTGCTTTACCCCATGGTATCAATTGTACAGCAAGTTGAGTGGGCCCCAGTGTTGGTCTGGATGCCGTGTCCCTGCTGGGAATGAAACCTTGATTTCCCAGTTATCCAACTCATAGTTTGATCTCTGTACTGTGATATCCTAGCTCCACATGTGCTTAATAAGTCAAATACAATGTGTATATGGGAATTACTGAAAGCATAAAGATACAGAAGATCCCTAACATTTGCTAATTAACAAGTTTTACCTTAGTTTAGTTTAGTTCAGTTCATATAAAATTAGGATAACTAGACAGCAGCAGCAGCATGTACCTATATGCTCTCACTAACTGTTAAATACCACAAATCCCTCTGCAGGTTACTCAATGCATAGATTATTGGTACATGTTGTTTCTTTTAATATTTTGTTGCATTTAGTAAAAACAAAGCATGCAGGAGACCCTAGAAGAGAAACTCAGTGGAATTGAGCGGAAATGTTGAAGTGCAGTGGAACAATATAAAAGAATGCATGTTAGATACTATTAGTGAATTGGATGGTAAAGTTGAGAAGACAGCAGGAAAATCATGGGTTACACAGGAGATGATGAGTAAAATGGAGGAGCGAAGGAAATGGAAGAATGTAGGAGGAAATACAGGAGACTGAGGAATGAATTGAAAAGAGCCACAGACAGGGCCAAAAAGGAATATCTTGAGAAGATATGTAATGAGATTATAGAATTTCAAAGGACAGGATGTTATGATTTGATGTACATGAAGACAAAAGAACTAGGATGGAAAGAGAACCATGGGATTCAAAATATTGGCATCGAAGACTCCCAGGGGAATAGAATAGCAGATCAGAAGCAAGTGCTGAAAATTTGGGAAAATTATATTACAGAAGTATATGATCGACCTAATCGGCCAGAAACCTTGGAAGTGGAACCAGAAGAAGAAGTAGATACAGGCGAGAAAGGACCATATATTTTACAAAGTGAGGTGGAAAAAGCTCTCAAGGACATGAGGAATGGAAAGGCTACAGGAGATGATGATGTACCTGGAGATGTGCTTAAGTTACTGGGAGAAGGTGGTTTGAAAACACTGACAAAAATAATAAACACCATATATGAAACTGGGGAGTGCCCCAAGGACTTTATAGAAGTGACAATGATTGCCTTAAAGAAAAAGACAAAAGCTACAAAATGCAGCGACCATCGCACAATAAGCCTTATTGCACATACAGCAAAGATAATAGCAAAGATACTTAAAAGAAGAATTGAAAGGAAAATAGAGGATGTACTTGGAGAAGATCAGTTTGGATTTAGAAGAGGAAAAGGAACCAGGGATGCAATTGGGATGATGAGAATTATAGCGGAACGAACTTTGGAGATAGATGAAGAACTGTGTGTTTGCTTCATAGACTGGCAGAAGGCATTTGACCGGGTAAACTGGACCAAATTAATGCAGATCCTGAAAGAAACAGGTATCGATTGGCATGAAAGAAGATTGATTAGCAAATTGTACATGGATCAGAAAGTTAGAGTGCGACTGGACAGAGGGGAGACAAGAAGTGTGAAGACTGGAAGAGGAGTTCGACAAGGATGTTGTTTATCACAAATTTTATTCAACTTGTACAGCGAATGCCTTACCAAAGAAGCTCTGGATGGGCTTGGAGACTTCAAATTAGGAGGGCAAATTATTCAAACTGTGAAATATGCAGATGACCTTGTGTTAATGGCTAAGGAAGAAACTGTGCTACAGGGCATGATTGATAGACTAATTGAAATTGGAAGGTGCTATGGCATGGAAATGAATGTGGAGAAAACAAAAGTAATGAAAATTTCGAGACAACCAACCCCAGTCACAATAAAGATAGACCAAAAACAACTGGAGAATGTGAAATGTTTTAAATATTTGGGTAGCTTGTTAACAGATGATGGAAGGTGTACTTGTGAAATTAAATCCAGGATTGCCATGGCAAAAGCTGCATTTAGCAAGAAGAAGAATCTTTTTACCAGCAAATTTGACTTAAATTTGAGAAAGAAACTAGTGAAATGCTACATTTGGAGCATTGCTTTGTATGGGGCTGAAACTTGGGACACTTAGGGCAGTAGATAAGAAACACCTGGAAAGCTTCAAAATGTGGTGTTGGAGAAGGATGGAGATCAGTTGGACCGATTGTGTGAGAAATGAAGAAGTGTTATTTAGAGTCAGTGAGCAGAGGAATGTCCTACACAAAATAAGAAAACAGAAAGCTAATTGGATTGGTCATATCTTATGCAGTAACTGCCTTCTAAAAGAAGTTATTGAAGGAAAGATAGAGGGGCGGATAGAAGTGACCAGAAGAGGAGGAAGAAGACGCAAGAAGATGCTGGATGACCTTGGGGACAGAAGAGGATATTTTCATTTGAAAGAGAAAGCTCTAGATCGTATTAAGTGGAGGAACTGTTTTGGAAGAGACTGTGGACCTGTCATCTTGACAGATTACTGATGAATGAATGAATTATAAAACTGCCCTGTCATAAACATAGGCCAATGCAAACTCAGATCTCCTGCCCCACCCATCCTTCTTCTTGTGTCTCATGAACCTCTCACACTTCTGAATACAAATCACACAAGGAATGTATCAATTATCATATACATGGAATGGAAACCACAAACCACATAAAAAGTAATCAAGACTGTCAAGTAAAGATATTGCAATTCAAGGTAAATGGAATCACTGGCTAGTCTACCTTGACAGCAAGCCACAAGGCAGAGGACAAATGGGAAAGTCAAGACTGAGATGGCTGAAGATGCAAAGAAAGATTTACAAGAGTTGAAAGCGAAGTGATATGAGCCACATGGTAAATAACAGAGAAGTATGGCATATACTGTAAAAATTGCAGATGTGTCTGTTGCTAATTTGTGCTTCTTTCTCTTTCTGGTAGTTGAGCAGCAAATAAAATTACACTGTGCATGATGTAGTGTAGTTGGTGGAGGCACTATACTACAAGCCAGAAAATTATACGTTTGATTCCCAATGAGGTCACTGGATTTTTCAGTTGACCCAATCCTTCCAGCCACACTATGGGTCTAGGGTCAACTCAGCCTCTAACAGAAATGAGTACAAGGAATCTTTCTTGTGGTAAAGGGTAGCCGGCACGTAAGACTAACAACTACATTTCCATCTGTGAACTGACTGTGTAGAAAATGTGGGTGCCCCCAGCATCTCACAACGCTATGGTCTTCCAGCGTTACAGGAATGCCTTTACCTTTTCTTAATGTAATACACAGAATTCAGGTTTTGCAAATATAATACTTAAGAAGTTATGAAAACATATTTTGCCTTGTCTGAAAGCATTAGCTTGTGTTATTGAGTCAAAACTTTCACATCTCTCTCTCTCTCTCTCAAACTTACATGAATTTTGTGTGGACAGATGCTGATCCAAAAGACCATACAATTATTAAGTAGGTATAGCGACTTCACTGAATTGTTTGCAGCGTAACCAGAAATTTTAACAGTCATGGTCATTTTCAGCCTTCTTTCTGTTAAATACATTATCTCATCATAAATTGATACATCTTGATTAACAAGGTTTTCCTTGAAACTGTTTATAGAAATGGGCTGAAATATAAACACCATAGGAAAGCACAAAGGAAGGCAGCAGACTGTCTAGGGGAGAGGTGGGAGAGAATCCAGCATTCTACACAGCTCACCTCTAATGTAAGCAGTGATTTCCAACTTACTTACCTCACCTGAGAGACCCATGGTTTCAGCATCCCTCTGCTCAAGTGTGAACACTGATTTATGAACTTCATTTAACATCATCCAAATCTACCAGTAGCACTTCAGAATGCAATGGATATTAACGGCAATTTTCATCCATAACCTTGAGGAGAAGGTATATCGGATGAAATTTTTAATTTATTTTCATGATGTACAGCCCTTTTCCTAATACACATTTCTATTATTTCTTTCAATAGTTTCCTTTTCAGCACTGTGATCAATATATGAACACAGTAAAGCAAATGTTACATCTTGAGATGCCATTGTATTTAAAATTTGCACATATTTTTGCCATCTCTAGTGGTCTATGTGAAAGATGGACATCACTACTGTATAGAATTGTGTCTTTTTATGATCAATATTAGCACATTAACTGCCATGATCCTAGAATATTATCTGCTGCACCAGCCATTTTTGCATGAAAAAGTGAAAAACAATTGACTTTGCATTTCAGTGGCATCTATAGGAGAAACTGACACCTATAGTGTTAAGAGTCTGCACTAGACAGGACTGGCAATGGCAAGTGGTAAATTCTTTAGTCAGGTGACAAGATGGCAGTGCATGCGTTAATTAAAAAATGATTAGTAGGCTGTAAAATCAAATAGAATATCAACAAAATCAAATATGAATACCATCATAAAAAATCTGAATGGCAGAGACATAACAATTGGTCAAGAATCTATCATTGTCTTGTATAATGTGTAACCTTTTACATAAGTCCTATGATAACATCATTGTACAATATTGTAGACATTGCATTACGTGTATATGTTCTTTTAATTAATAATTAAGTCTATGTACAGTTAGTTACACAGATGACTCTCATCTGAACTGACATGCTACACTGTTAATTTCTATTTATTCACAAGGGCCACTGGCCAAATAAATATGACATCAGGTTAGGAAATTGATGATGAGTAAGAAATAATTTTCACTGGATAAAGAAATATGTGGCCCCTCAAACAGGCCTACCTGTAAAGTTCAGCACAAGGCTTCCACTTCTAATTGTCCAGTCTATCTTCCAAAGACCTAAATCGTATTACAAGAATTGCACATCTGTATAAACAAGAACTACGTGTTAATAAGTATTGCTTTCTTTTTTTTAGTTAGGTAAAAACCCTTGAAAAAATATGTCTGAGGCCTAAACATGCCACAATCTTATTCCACTCTTTTAAAAATAAAGAAAAAACAGCATACACATAAATAATACACTAAAAGATTAATATTATGCACCCTTACCAGTTCTCAAAAATCACCTTTAAAAGTTGATCACAATTGTTCTCTGACAGTACTTGCATTTTTCAATTTGGAGGAACAAAAATTATTTAATAATATTTCATGTCAATATTCAAAATGAACAGTTCTGAAAATTAAAATGTGTATGTTGGAATTGAGATTCTCACAACAGTGAGTATGAAGAGTATGGTCTTCTGAGTTGTGGTGCTTTGTAGTTTGGTAGAAGTCTACTGTCTTTTTGCAGGAACATCAGTGGACTTCTGTTGAACTACGTAACATTACAACCAAGATCTTACTCTTAAAATTATATATGTTATTTATATATATATGTGTGAGAGAATGAATTACCACAAACTGTACCCAGATTACATTACAGACTTCACAGAAATCATAAAGCATCACTTCCAAGTACAATTAGAACAGCTCTTGTCTTGTTACCACTATAAAGCACCAAGGATAGAAGCCATGTGAGCATATTTATGAAACAAAAAATTGCCTCACAAGAACTTGTTAGCCTGGAAATTATTTGGAGTCCTATTTTTTTACACCCTTCACTTTGACGACAACTATATCTTGACACACGCCAACCCCCCTTGCTTTTAAGACTATCAAAGTTGCCATTCAATAAAAACTGCAGTTATTATAAAAAATTCTGACCTAAAACATATTCTGAATGGCATTCACACTACTGTATTTATATTGCAATGCAAAATCACAGACACTGAAAGATGAGTCATCTAGAAATTGCAGAGCTGGGTCTGCAACTGTAAGCACAACGAGGAACGGTTCGTTCTCTTCTTCGGAATATGTACAATATTGTAGTAACAGAATATTATGGGTTTTCAAGTACTTCCTATAAAAAGCTTGTGTAAGTTTTCTTTTGGCTGATATCTACTGAAGAATTGGGCTGTGCACACTGTTCACCACTGCACACTTTTCTCGAGTTAGGTTTGTATAAAAAAAAAAAAGAAGGGGTGGACACACACTCATTTGTACCAGGGAGTATGAAATATGTGTTGTGAAAGTAATATCATACCAGAAACATAGAATGCTTATTTATGGGTTCTTCTAACTTAATTATTGGTATTTCTGTTTGGTTTGGTGACTACCCTGTTTTTTTATTTTAATTATTAAATATTTAAATGCTAGATATTCCAAAAAGCACAATTACTTCTGTTGCCACTATATGCTGTGCTTACTGTGTCTGACAGAAACACAATATTCCAGTCTTAATTTAAAAAACAGAACACCATAGGCCTATATATTGCAATTTGGAAGTTCATAATGTTACTGAAGAAATCTGATGTTGAGAGGTTATGTTCAGAAGGGTTGTGTGCTATACTGAAGATGCAACTTGTATAAGAAAGGATTCTGTTGCAAGGTTAAGCTGGTGCCATTGTTTTCTTCTGCTCTTCTGTCACATTTCATCAGCACTAATTTGCAAGCATCTATATACACTGCTCTAAGAGCCTCAAGGAAATACCCTGCACTGGGCATAGCAACATTGTACAATCCTTTCTCTTGCTCTCATATCTATTCTCTAATGACTCATTTCTCATGGAAGCAGTTCATAGTCATCGAATGGGGTCTCAAGATTCTTTCATACATTCCACTCTTTCATTTCCATTCAAATACATGATAATCATATGAAATGTTTTGATACCGTCTCGTAGGAAATATTCATTGCACACACTCTGGAAAGTTATAAAATATACATGATATTACCTCTCATTCTAGAACTCATCCACACATACACATGGCTCGTCACGAATTATCGTGATGGACACAGAAGGACTAGTTAAGACCATTTTCAGTGGTCTCTTGAGGATGAAAGAGAAGCAGTTTTAGTTATGTATCATTAAGTATTGCCTGCATTTGTCTGATTTTTGCCAGGAGTATTTTCACAGGTATGTTTGTAGTACCAGAGGAAGGAAAAGTTTTATGATGTTTAAACAACTGTTTGTTTTGGAACCATTTAAAAGTTCTGCAATATTTAATCCTTGACAGGACATCGTCTGGCCTGCCGGCAGTCAAACAGGGGTCGTACAGAATCACGAGTCATGCCTACGAGATCTCAGTCTCCGACCTCCTCCACTACTCTTTCTTCTCTTGCGCTTTGTGTCCCGACGGAAGGCGACATTTCCAGGATCATCTGCCAGTTGGGGGTATCGATGAATGCTGTGGATGTCCACCCCTTCATAACCATCCACATCCCCATGCAGGATAAGTTCTTCTTTTTCTTCCTCGGTCCAATCCCCACGCCCACGGAAGCCGGCTGCCACCAGCTGCTTCTCCAGTTCCCATGCTCGTTCCACAGCTCGTTTGTGTGCGTGTTTGAAAATGCGATGACGCTCCTGTTCAGGATCTGCACCATATCGAATGAAAACAGCTGCATCAGAATTGTGAAGCCTTAGCTCTTTAGTGCCACCTGCTCCACCATGTTCAGTTGCTGTCTCATGTGCTGAGATGTTAAACATTCCACCCAAACGCCGTAGTTCCTCCTGATCATCGCGAATTTTTAAGACATTATCCTTCACAAAATAGAACACATCTTGGTCATGTAGACTAAAGTGCAAGTCCAGGAAGTATGAATTATTGAACACAGATGTTACCACATCCTGAACAACCCCATTGACACCTTCTACCACACTGACCATGGCTCTTCCCGCCACCCGTGAGATGAGCACTCCTTCACCAAATACAGCCCTCCTGTATGCCACTCGTGGAAGAAGGTTTCGTGTTTTGGGCTCCATTTTCAGAAGTGGCTTTGGAACAAAGCCCAGGTCACTGAACTTTTCGTTCATCTTGTCTACTATGCACTGTAGCCCTGACATCACACCAAAGTCAGGAGAAAGCTGAGGAGACGTCACAATTGCCCGTGGCTGGTACACCATACGTGAAGTGTAAGATGATCCCAGCATGCTGTCCACATCATAGCCATACAGCTTCAGCCAGCTTGGCAGGTCTGTAATGCAGGAAGATGAAAGTGTCAAACATGTGAAATTAGAATAAACATCTGACTATAGTCTGAGCAGTTTATACAGTCCCATGACCTTTCCCTGTTAAAGTGACATGTGACAACACCTGATGAGTAATTCAGAGCTGTGTTAATGTTCATCCTGACTTCCCTCTCTCCACTTCACTCCTGTCCCTCTGCCTAAGGTGTTCTATTAGTATATGGACAAATACCGTCTTAAGTGCAACAATTTTATTGTAGTTTTTACTTCTTTTTCCTCCTCCACACTACATGTTTCGGCCCTAAATGGCCATCATCAGGTGTGTATCACTCACGCAAGTGTTACACTGCTTGTTAAAAATTTAAAAACACCAGTCTTTCCAATGGTATAAAATCTTTGTCAATCTACACGCGTCAATTTGATCTTTAAATTAGCACTTTTTAAACCCCAATTCAAGTTAAAATGTCTATAAGATCTTTGTTCTCTTTCTTTTTCAAATTTTTCAATTAAAGTTTTTCAGGGTACATGCCCTATATCTACGGTGCTGCAGCGGCCACTTCTTGTTTTTATCGCCGTTCATGTGTTGT